TATTAAGCTCCCTGCTGCAACACATCCTTTTCCTCTCTGTGGAGGGCCAGGAACTCTATAATCACTCAACATCTTCTATTCAAGGCAGTCCAATGACTCAGCCCTTTTCAGCCTCCTGCCACTGGTTCTCCAGCTCAGGAGAGTCAGCAAACTACCCCCTTTGCTGGTCTCTCAGCCCTTTTCAGCTTCCTGGCACTGCCTGTCTAGCTCAGGAAGGTCAGCAGGCTAGCCCGTTTCCTGGCTGACTCTCAGGAAGATGTCACTTGCTCTTTCAGTCTGTCCTCTCAATCTCTTCTCACCTGCCTCTTCCTGCCAGCCCTTTATATGGCCCAGGTGCCTTCTTTTAACCCCAGTTAGGAGGCAGCTAATCAGTCATATGTGCACTAGACCCTGCTCCCTCTTACATGGCTGCAGACCATAAAGTTGTGCTGGGTGGAGATGGGAAGCAAATGGGGGCCCACTTCCCCGGTGTGTTGGGTGGGGGGAGGGAATGCTATGACTGGCTATCAGAAGCATGTGTCCCTGTTATCCCCTTTCTCATTCCTGGCAAGAGCAGCCTGACTCCCCTGCCCAGGAACTAGATCAAGGACTGCCATGCTGTACGTTCAAAATCTATTTTACATCTTTTTTCAGAAGTCTCATCCCACTGTTTCCATGGCATGGTTACTGTGCCTGCCTCGTCGTGCTGGGGCCCTTACCCCATCAGACAGATTAGCATTAACTACAAAAATCTTGCAGCTCAGTCATGTTACATTACTTCAGAGTGACTCACAGCAGTCAGACTGTATTTGATAAACCAACTGGTGAGTTTCCTTTAGTAATTGAAGGTCTAGCCTAACAAAGTATTGGGCAAATTTAATTCCTGGTGTAACTCCACTGACGTTTGCAGTTACTTTGGGGTGGTGTGAATTTGACCCATTAGTTTCAGTCCTGCTCCCACTGGGCTCAATGGCAATTTTGCCATTGACTTTAATGGGAGTAGAATCAGGCCTATCATTTTAGGAGCTTTATGCACAAATATATCAAAGTGGCTTATTCATTGTTTATAGCTTGAGCTCCTATCTGCCATTTCCCTGACACGTTTAACTGGCTTTAGAAATGATCAGTTCTTGAAGTATGCTCCCTTTGTGATGTCTTTTTAGACCAGATTTATTTCTTGGTTTATAATTTCTGTTTGATTTAAAAATAATTCTGGCATGTTTGCTGTTATAACATGAGTTTGGGTAAGAGATAACCATCTGGTTTCCAAAGCACACTGTACTTTTCAGCACAAATGTTGTATAGGATGGGCAGTGATAGAGGATTAGATTATGCTTCTGTTTTGCCCAATATTTTCCCTCACACAACATAGCGAAAAGAAGCAAGAATCTATTTTAGTGTGTTCAGAATTCATCTCAGAGAGGTGAACTCCATGGGCATAATAAAAATATGATGTATCAAATTTAACAACAAAAAATCCCAGTGCACATTTGCTTGGAGAAGCCCATGAACAGAAAAACCGATACAAGATAAAATATGAGTGCTTTAAACAAAACTTCCTGTTTTATTTATGCATCATCCTAACAAGTAAAACATACAGTAAGGCAATCATTTTTTCCTGCAGTTCCTCATCCCCCTTATATATTATTAAATCCACACTTAAACTCTGGTTCCAAAGCCAGAAGAATTTTTAGAACAAACCTCTGAGATTTATTTCCCTATATCTGTTTCTAATTTCATTAACTAGTCCAAACTCTAAGTAGCCTCATGGTGAGAAACAATGACTAGAGCAGTCTTGTTTTAAGGCACTCCACCAGTCATGTCAGTGTGTTATAAATTTCCAGTTTTATTTTGTATCATATGCACAAACCCTTCATTTTACCTTTTACATAAAAAAGACTTCATGAAACAAGACAAAATAACTTATGATTATATGAAACATAACTGTAACAAATCACAAAACTATACATATTAATAAAAAAGTAGAGCTAATTCTTTTAAAGATTATGACTTGCAATATGCAACAGATGTGCCAGTACAGTAAAATCAGCTAGATATACAGTATGGAATATGGAGTTCAAATCTCTATATATGAGCATGTATAAATATGTACAAGAGTCTGTCAGGCTTATAGAAAACATATTTTCACTCCCTCTCCTCCCCAAAGTGCTTTGTGTAAAAATATTACACAAGATACTCTGCTTTCTGTACAAAATAAAAAGTTAAAACACACACACAATTTTAAATGTGTGTTTTTTTGCTTTATCTGTTCCAAGAAAAAAAACAAAACAAAAACAAACTAGAAAAATTCAAACAACAAAAAGTGCTGTTTAAAAAATGCTGCTATAAAATTACACAACCAAAACTGGTAATGAACACAATTAAATGTAGGTTTATACAACGTCATTCACAATGTTTCAAGAAAATCTGATAGTACAATATCATGTGACAGACAGCATTAACATTGCAACACTTCAGCAACTGGTATTAGTAAACTATGATGTCTTTATTTTTTTATACAAAATGCTATTTGAAACTACATTTTAATTCCAGTGTAGACCCCTTTCTCCTGTAGATATAAATACACCATTTGAATATGAGGACAAAGAATAATATAAAAAGAATTATTGCAAATTATTTAATTATAATATTGTTTAATGTTCATTTTCTAAAATAAAAACATCTTTTAGATTTAATCCCTTTAGAAAGTTAATATTTTCCAGCAATCTAAAACAATAACAAAATCTCGAGGCACATGTATTGCATGTAATTCAGTAACTTGCGTTAAGCTGTGTATGTTTTTACAAGCACCAGTTTTCCTTTGTGATGTGACAAACAATTCTCTATTTAAATACTCAAGAAAACAGTCACAGAAGAGCTTTTTTTTTGTTAAGTATCCAGCTGATGCAAGATGATCTCCTGAAGTTTATTGAGAATGATAATGAAATAATTGTGAAGTATCTCTCTTTCTCTCTTGATATATAAGTAAACATGGCATATCCTTTTTGCAGAATGGTAGCCCATCTCTATGTGCTTCTGGAGGCAGTATTTTAACTATTTTGCTTTAAGATTAAGGCACTTTACAAGCTGTGCGCAGTAAAAAAATGTGATTGACTTGCAAGAGTATTTTTTTCAAATTTATCTGACAAAAAGGAAAACTCTCACCATCCTTTTTTGTTTTGTCTTCTTTCTTCTACCACTTCTGCCATGTCTTTCTTTATAAGCCCTCCTCACTGGATAGTTTGTATGTTCAGAGATTAGAAAAAGTATTTCAGTAGCTTCAAAGGTCAAAGAGGTATATATCTGAACTTTGCAGTTATTTTTTCGCTTTTCATACACAATGAATGACAAACAAATCATGGACAACCATGTCAAGGTTGCAGTAAGGAGGAAAGCTTTTAGCTGATTTGACTGTCCAGAGTCACAAGGGGCCCAATCTTGCTCCCATTGACTTCAGTGGTGTAAGATAGAGCCCCGTGAGCCTGAAATTGCAACTTTAAGCATGCCTACAACTCCTGCTGAGGCCAAAGTGAGTTACGTTTGTGCAATGACCATAGGAGTAGACTTAATATAGGATAAAATGAAATCTCCAGCAAAGGCTAAAACTCAGGGTTAATTCGTTGGGCCAGATCTTCAGCTGATGAAAATAGGCTGTATATCCAACTGTGCTGCACTATAGCTCAGTGCAGATGCTTTAAATGAGTGTGCAACATTATTTACCATAGCAAACAGGGCGATATGATGTCTAGGCACAATGATGTGAGTTAAGACAAAGGGCCAAATTCATCCCTGGTGTCAAAGTTCGAATACAATAGGGATTAATTTTACACAGAATTTCCAGATTTATGCCATACTCTTATTGTTACTTTTGTATAGTTTTTGTGTGTAAGTACTTAATTTTGTTTAAATGTTGTATACTTTTTATGGATAGAATAGAGGAAACTCCCCCAATTAAGTGTATATGTCTAGATGTGATAGAATATAGAGCAGGGGTGGGCAAACTTCGGCCTGCGGGCTGGATTCGGCCCGCGGGCTGGATTCGGCCCGCATTCGGCCCGCCAAATGTTTTAATGCAGCCCTCGAGCTCCCGCTGGGGAGTGGTGTCTGGGGCTTGCCCCGCTCCAGCCGGGGAATAGGATTGGGGGCCGCTCCATGCGGCTCCCAGAAGCAGTGGCATACCTACCCCCCCCGGCTCCTACGCACAGGGGCAGCCAGGGGGCTCCGCTCTGCATGCTATTCCCCACCCCAAGCACCACCCCCACAGCTCCAATTGAAAGGATCCCCCTCCTGTCCTCTGAACCCCTCGGGCCCAGCCTGGAGCACCCTCCTGCACCCCAAACCCCTCATCCCCAGCCCCATCCCAGAGCCCGCATCCCCAGCTGGAGCCTTCCCGCACTCCAACCCCCTGCCCCAGCCCTGATCCCCCTCCTGCCCTCTGAACCCCTTGGTCCCAGCCCAGAGCACCCTCCTACACCCCATACTCCTCATCCCCAGCCCCACCCCACAGCCCTCATCCCCCCCGGCACCCAACCTTCCCGTCCCAGCCAGGAGCCCCCTCCCACATCCCAAACTCCTCATTTCTGCCCCCCCCCAAACCAGAGCCCACATCCCCTCCTCCACCCCAACCCCAATTTTGTGAGCATTCATGGCCCGCCATACAATTTCTATTCCCAGATGTGGTCCTCAGGCCAAAAAGTTTGCCCACCTCTGATATAGAGAGTCCTCTGAGGCCTGGTGTTTTGCCAAATTCATCCCTGGTGCAACTCCAGCAAAGTCAGTGCAGTTAAATCAGGAATGAATTTACCTGACAGATCATAACAGCATCTCATTATAAGCAGGTATTTGGACAATTTTTTTAAATGTATTTTTCTAAACTAATGAGTCCTTTGGAAAAGTTTTGGTCTATTCTGTGAATAATACATCAACAAATTTCAGCATGCAAACTTGCTGGACTGCAAAAATTTCTTTGGATCTTAGTCCTGCATATCGTGTCAGGCCAAAGCATATATAGATACACACACTAAGAAACCCCAAACGCTTTTATTCACAATATGGATGAATAATTTTAAAATAAAGTTTTAAATAAGTGATAAGAAAAGCTGCTTTCCAGAGCACAGCAATGACAAAATCCACATCTCGACTGATTAACTTCATTCCCCACCTTGCCCATACACTTGTGGCTTTTAAGATGGCCAAACTGATTTGCTTTCAGCCTGGGCTAAAACTTACAGGCCAGCCAAAGGTTAAAAAAAAACACAACTTAACAACTCAGTTGTAGATCTCTGAATAACCTAGTACAAACATCAACAAACCCTTAAATATAGCATGCCTTATGGAAAAGGCCCATAGAATTACATAAGGATGAAGCCAATAGGAATCAATATAAATTTAATAGGGTTTCATACAAATTGCTTTAAAAAAAGCTACAGAATTTAATGGAGAATGATATCTTTTCTACAGGTTATTTTTAACCTTCCTATAGCATTCTACATCAGGAATATAACTCTCTTTTAAATTGCATAGTATGGTTAAAAATTCTATTGAAAGTTTATCATTATTTATTAAATTCTCCATAGCAATGCTAATAAGGGCTGCTCGAATATAAAGGAAATCCTAGTGCCTTTTTAGTTAAACTCTTCTTATTCATTGTATAAAATGTTAAAATGGAAACAATATTGAAAAAGGTAGTAATAGCCATTCTGGAAGGTTTAAATTCTAGTGGAATGGAACAGGAAACCAAAACAAGGATTGCAGGAAATCCAGTACCAATGCTCTTTGGCTCCAAGAAGCCCCAACAATGCTTCTAGCTGGTGGTGCTATGATGCGTCTCAAATTGTTTTCCCTTTTTTGTCTTTGTGTGTATCTAGCTATGTAAGCACCACAGACAAATAGGTTGTGCAAGAAGGTGAGCCTTTTAAAATGTTTGTAGTGTTCTCTGGTTTTAGTTCTTAGATTCTCCCCCCCCCCCCCCCAGCAAAACTGCATTCTAAAATGATTTTGCCAATTCGGCTTAAAAAGATTACATCCAGCAGCAGGTTACTTATTCAGTATTTGAATTCCCTTTGGGGTGGGGGGGAAAAAAAGTAGTGCTGCCATGCAGCAGATCAAAAGAAAAAGTAACAATTGCTAAAGTTTTGGCAAAGTTTTCTTGTTTTACCAACATTTCCCCCTTTGTTTGGCTGTTTTTGTGAGGTTGAGTGTCTGATGATTGCATTTCCTCCTCTTTCTGAAACATACATACAGCAGTCTTATGGAGGAATGATATTTGTAACATTTGTTCTTGACTATCAGAAAGGAAAGATGATACGCAATAGAGTATTTGTAATTATAATTAGATCATTTTAGCCTTCCGTATAGACAGAGGAAAGCTGGCTAGGACAACGATCCACTGCATTTATCTGAAGGAAACTGGCGTCCTCAGACCCATTGCGCAATGAATCACCAAAGATACCTGTTGACCCTGATGGAAGATCATAAACTGGAAAAGAGTACAGAAATCATTAATTAACACCTACCAACTGTCTGTAATAATTACACAGAAAAATAGCTGGAAATAGCTTTTAAAAAAAATACAGGGGTACTTAAAGGTTCAGATGAATTGCTTACTATAAGGGAAAACCTAGCCCCATTGAAATCAATGGTAAAACTCCTATTGACTTCAATAGGACTAGGATGTCACCCACTGTGTATGTATAGACACACGTTATATACATGCACACACAAATTATATGCACTCTGTGTGTGCGTGAATATATGGATGGACAGATCCTGCAGCTGCTCTACTGTGGAGTTTCCCATAACTGTGCAGTTTAGCTGAAGATCCTTTTATTTTATCAATCTGCCTACTGCCCTTGGTTATGGGATTTCGACACACGCAATGTAAGATTAAAAAAACCAGCAAACTATTGCAAGATTATTCTGCAGTGCAGAGGACCCTATCCTGCAAACACCAAATTTCAGTGGGACTGTGTGCAGCACTAGATGTGTATTCAGGAGAATAACTGCAGAGCAGGGTCCTTATTTTGGATTTTTAAATGCTTGTGTAGATGGCTGCCATGAATCTTAAAACTGGCAGTTAGGTATATGATTGGGCTTTTAAGCACCTCACACCAGGATTTAGATGTGTAGCACATTTTAAGTGAAATTCTCCCTTGTGCAGCGGGTGGCACATGGCCTATGTATCATTTATTAAGTCCCACTCAGGCCCTCAGGCGGTGTATCTACACTGCAATAAAACAATTGCGGCTGGCCTGTGTCAGCTGACTGAACCTTGCAGGACTTGGGCTGCGGGGCTATAAAATTGCAGTGTAACTGAGCCAAAGCCCAGGCTCTGGGACCCTGTGAGTGGGGAGGGACCCAAAGCTCCATCCCGAGCCTGGATGTCTATACTGCAACTTTATAGCCCTGTGAGCCCTAGTCAGCTGGCATGGGGCAGGTGCAGATGTTTTATTGCAGTGTAGACATACCCAGAATAGATCATGGGCCTTGAGCGTGTACTCCACCCAGGTGTAAATTTGACCTTTTCAGGGTAGTATGCAAATTCTTATAGGGAGCTGAGAGTGAACGAGCAAATTAAATCTTGATAGAATTGGTATGTGCACCACGGGCTATTGTTGTCATGCACATCTAGATAAATGAATTCCTTGACTAAGAAAATTATCTTGGGCAAAAAGGTATAAAGCAAAACCAATGGCTTGATTAGATGCTACAATGCTTCTAGGAGACTGCAGGAGCAAAAAGACTTCAGAAGGCTTAGAGGACAGTATTTCAAAGTGAATACATGAGCTAGTGCATGTCTGACCCTGTACAGGAATTCAGAAGCTAGAGAAACATACATACAGCCAACGCACAGTCTGTATGCATGCCAGATGTTATAGAGATATGCCCAAACCAGATCTCCATAGCTAACACCCCACAAAGTTCCAATACACATCAGAACTTTGGGGTGGGGGGATCAAGCCCATCGTCTCTAGTTGTAACTGAGAAGTCAGCAAAGCCTGGTTACATTTACAACTGGAATGTAGGTGTACAGGTATTTCTAGTTCACAACAGTCACTTACCTGTAATACCAGAATGTGCTGAAAAAGCTCTGTGGAAAACATCAAACCCCGCCTGGCCCATCGATGTGGGAACTAGACAGTCTTCAAAAGGAGGGACCATATTACAAGAGCCTCCATGTTGTATGTTCCTCTGAGCGTCAGTGTAATGTGGAGGGCAGAAAGTCTGTAGTTGCCCATAAAAGCCTAAAACAAAGAGAGGAGAGAAGACATTAAGTTACCTTGATATTTTGTCTGGTTGGCTCAGATAGAGAGACAAAGAACAATAGCAATGACAAGCACAGTGGGTGAAACCCTGCCCATACTGAGGTCAATGGGAAAACTCCCATTTATTGCAACTGTTTTTCTGCCTTAATATCTGATTCACTATAACGTTCTCTGCAGTAACGCTTCCTCCATTAGATTTTGTCCCCACTGGCTCCTAACTACTTTAAATCCATCTTTGAACTATCCTGGTTCTAACACCACTTTGTGGAGGCAGCAGTTGATCAGGAGTCATTATAGGGAGACTGATGTTTTCATGAAAACACTTCCTTTCTTCTACACTCCTGTTCAAAGATCTGATATCCTGCAAACGTCACTTAGCTTCAAGTTCAGGAAAAACTCTCGTTAAAGATAAGGAAAGATTTGCCGGAATAAGGACTGCATAAAGCCATAGGATTTGTCCCTGGGTTTAAGGTGGCAGATTAAATCCTATCCAAGTGCTTGAAATTGACTCTAAGGCTGTTGAAGATGGTGGAGACTGATGTACGAGGCTCTGAATGATTGGGTTGCACTCACAATGTATACATACTCTCCCTTAGCTATTCCTGCATGTAGACATCAGGTCAGATTCTCAGCTGGTGCAAATCAACACACCTCCATTGACTTCAATGAACCTATATTGATCTACACCAGTTGAGAATCTGGTCCATTATGTCTAAATCACTTGAAAACTCCTCAGAGGTTATTTAAAAAGAAGCCTAGTGTTTATGTTCTTTATTGACATTTTAATGACTATAACGGGCATACAAATATCCGGTGAGTTAATGTTCTACAAATATGGGTATCAAGTAAACAAGAGGAAACAATCTAGTACAGAGTGGGTGAGATGGCAGTTCTTAGTGGGCAACAGACAGGGCGAACCTGAGGCCATACAATTTAGTAAGGCATACAATGGAATGAGCTATCCCATGGAATCATGCTCCTCCCACCCACTTACAGATTTGCATGTTAGGTCAAGGTAACAGGATTATTTGCTGGGGTTCTGAACAGATAAGATATTTATTTCAGGTTTCTAAAATGTGCGCATCACGAGTTTTAAAGCATGTGCCAAAGATAAAACCACCATTAGATCAAAAATATTTACAAATTGTCTCAATACCAACAAAAGGCTTTTCCCCGCCATTAGATGCAAGACCCCTCTTTCCACTCCCTCCCTCCCCTAGAAAAGCTTGGAAAAACAGATAGGGCTTGTAGCATGCTCTGTTGTAATCAATTTAGGCTCTGGCAGACTCAGAGGGGAAGGATGGAAGAAAATATCAAAGCTGAGGCCCCTACGTAAAAACACCCATTATCAGCTCTCTCTCATTTATACCAACATTTACCAGCTTGAGTGCCTTGCCTGATCTGAACTGCTGAAGAATCACACAAGGAGAAGAGGAGTTTGAAAGGTAAACAGGGTGCAAACCACCGAGGACTTTATAGTTTAAATCCAGTATCTTTAAACTTCACCCAGAAAGTGTGCATGACTATCTCCTTGCCCATTAAAAGACGAGCCCAGGAGCAATACAACCTCAGAAGATTTTGTAAGCAAACAATCCATTGTCTAAGGGCTGGTGTGCCATTTCTCATGCTGAAGAATATGTAACAGTAAGTTATACCAAAAAGCCACTGCAAGGAAAAATCACCTCATCTCAAAAAGCAACTTAAGAAATTTTCTGTATCTCAAGTTTCTTCCACAGAAGTTGCTATCAACAGAAATGCTGATGTATTAGGCTGACTCTTCTAACTAGTACAGTTAACTAACTGTCATATGACACAGCCCTCCTAGAGTAATTTTCTTTTAACTTCTTAAAGTAAATTTTTTTCCCCCTACCAGCACTAAAATCAGAAAAAAACCATCTCTGGACATATCTGCAGTAAAAAAGTGATCGCTGCAGATTTGGGGCTATGAATCAAATTTGGATGAAAAATCTCTTCTCAAGCTGGAAGAAAAAAAAATCAATAGCAAACTGGTTAATTGTAGTTTGGATGAGATGTAAAGTGAAGATAACTTTGCCAATTTGTGGTCATTAAAGATCCCAGCAGCTTTTCCTTATAATATAATAGCAAAAAGTATTATAAGGGGGTGTTAAACCTGGCGTCATGGACAAATCTTAGTTTGGGTACTTACCAGGGACAGGCAAGTCAAATACATTAGCCCAGTAGTGCAAGCTTTAGTGCTGTTAAGCAGCCTAATATTGCACAAATATAATTCAGACAATGTCATAGTCTCAGTCATAGCCAAACCAAATAATTATAAATGCGTATTCATGATAACAGAGACTATTCAGCATCCATCTCTGGCCTCTGCTGATGTTAAGGGACTATAGCAGACTCTGATTTTCCTGGAAGTTAGCTGGTCCTGGCAGGTCTATGGATTGTCTATCCCCTAAAGAGTAGACATCTTGGTGATTTGAGTGGTTAAGAGAAGATGCAGGGCCTGTTGCTGACCCCTAAATAACTAAGAAATGAATAGCCAGCTACCTGATGACATGGAAGAAGGTAGAAGACCTCCTAAAGACAGTTGAAAGTAAAGGGAGTAGCCCTTTATGAGATGGCATTGTCTCATGCAGGGTTGTACGGCTGATGTTCATTCTCATGATGTTTATATTTGGGAGGAATGTGTCTAAATATCATTAAATTATAGGTCACTTGAATATGAATATCAGCCTATTTGTCCATTACTAATGATTAAAGAGTGCCCAACCTGATTCATCCAGCACTGACTTATTTATAAAGAATCATTTAAAAAAATGAATACTTAATGCATTTCTAAAACTGCAGAGACTATTAAAAAATAAAACCCTTCCGACCTAGGATTGCTTTACAGGAGGGATCTTTGCACTTCGATAGCACCCTGCATGCAAAAGCTCAAAGCACTCTGCAAAACTGTTGTAGTCTAACTACGATCCAAATATATTTTCATTACCTTTCCTAGGAAAATGTCTATAAAGGACATGTGCTAAGTGTTTATGCACGGATAATGTATTTCATAAATATTAGTAAAGCAGCAGAGAGGATACACTGGAAAACATGCTGTATCACTTTGTGTGGTACAATTGATTTCCTGCCAAGCTGGAGAAAAGATGTGCAATTTAGGAACTTTATGATTCTAATTATTTTTCCTTTGAGACTACAATCCTGTGGGCTCATTGAGGAAATATACCGATCTTGGCATGTGTCGCGTGTACATGTTTCAAAATGGAAAATGTAATACTTAAGTGGATATATATGGGCCAACATTAAGGATGGAGAAAGCAGTCTGAACCTTCACTTAGAATTCAGAAGAGGACCTATTTGTCAGTTTGTAAAAGCAGAGAGGAGTTTGATAAGAAACTTAGGTTCGCACACATTGAGATAACCAACCAATATGTGTGCATGCATATACACAGCAAATAAAGTTTTTTAAGTTGCTTTAAAAGTTTTGCTCTCAGATTATTTTCTTTGAGAAGAGAAGGGACATTGGCTTACCCTGAAAGAAGCAGAAAAACAATGCACAACAAAACTGACCTTTCCCTTAAAGCAGACAGCAAATGTGTGCTATAGGCATTGCTAACATACTGTGGGCTCCATCCCAAGAGAGGCTGAACACTCAACTCCCACTGCCTTTAGTAGGACTCGTGGGTTCTTAGCAACTCTTAGGACTGGGCTCAGTGTTTTGAATAGTTTTGTATTTAAAAAGTTTAATTGGAACAGAAATGAGCCAGCTTCCAAGGCATGTTAGCTATTTACAATAGATCTCCCCACTGCTCAGTGCTGACATTTAAGAAAAAAACCTGTAGTAAAATAAAAAAGGAAAAACAATACTTTCTATAACTCGATTTAGACCATTACTATTGACAAACTTAAAAAGTGCTCTTAAAAACAACTGCTGTCTCAACCAGCATTGGGCCACATTGTGAAAGTTTACTGTTGAGTCAGACCAGTTACCAGAAACACAATCATTTCAATCTACAGTAGTCAGAGCCAGCTGGCAAGGCCCAGTAAGACACATGCTGAAAATGTTCTTTCATTGCTCTGAACTCATTCTTTATTTGTGCCTTTTCACAGCATCCTATTCTTACTGCAGAACAGTCTGGCAATAACATTGACTATTGCAAATTGTAGCCTGGTGCAATCACTAACTGAGCCCCAAAGTAAGCATAACGAGCCAAGTCCTCTTGTCCCTCCTCACTCACTGTGAGGCAAAATAATTTTGTCTGAGTAAGCATTGTACATTTTGGCCCAATGTAAAGAGAACTGCTGTTTTGTGCAGACATAATGGAGAAAAAAATAGAGAAAGCACACAAAGCATTTAATTAACAAATTCATCAATCATTTTTAAGCTGGAAAGAGAGAAAAATGCTGTATTCTTGGAATGCCTGTAGATAATAAACACTCTAATGTTAAAAAAGACCTAATGAAATCTTCAAGTATTCAAATGTATGTATTTATATGAACACTTTATGTCACCAGCTTACACCCAGCTATTTTAGACACAACCCAGCTTCATGGAAATCAGTGGGTATACATCAGGGTTGAACTTGTCCAAACTGGCTTAGGTTAAAAAAGAAAAATCATGTTATTACAGATAGGAGATATATTGTGGGAGAATAGCAAAGTGAAAAATGACAGCAACATTTTTGTTTGTTTTAGCAAATGTAGTACTAGTAAGAAAAAAAAAGTGCTAGATGGACACAACCTGGCAGATTGTATGTCCAGCAGCAATATACCTCAGACAAGAAGGCAATTCAATCCCTTGCCATTCTTGGCCTCACAGCTGGGACTGCCCACAAGGGAGCTAAACTGTGGTAGTGGTTTCTGTGCTCTGATGCAACATCTTTAACAGAACGTCTAAGAGACTGGTTTAATGAAGTTCCAGTAGCAGAATCACTCTTTAGGTCTATGGTTATAGACTCTATTATTTGCACTGTAACAAAATTATTATACGCCTCAGTTTAGTG